ACAAATTATAATATCTACAAATTAAAATAAATATGGACAAATGTAATTTATAAAAATATCACCTTCTTATTTTAAAAATAATATAATTTAAAATGATTTTGGAATTATTAATCAAAATGAGTTAAGTAAACATTACTCTATCGATTATTAAAAATTAATTAACTTTTAATAATCGATAATTTTTTAAAAATTACAACTTAAAAAGGAAAGGATTTTTTTTTTAAAAAACTGTGAAATGAAATTTAATTATATTATCAAGTAAAAAGAATAGTATTTCCTTTTTTAGGAAATTGAAATGTTTTGTTGTGTCATTTTTAAAATAAAAGGGTGATATACGAAAAAGATTTGTAGAAAATATTTTTATTAATTTTTAAATTTAATAAAATCAAAATATCAAAATTGTCATAAAACATATATTTTATAAAATGGTTATTTATCTAATTACAAAATGCAAATTACAATTTTATAGGAACAAATAATTTTATTTTTGTCATTGAAATAAAACGATCAAAATTAAATGAAAAAAATAATTCCTTCGTTCCAATTTATCGAACGTATATCATTTATGTTTATTTCTGCTTATTAAGTTTATTTCCTTACTGCTTTCTTATTATTAGAATTAGAACTTCTTTTCTTCCTTTTTTAAAAATCTAGAGAGATATTATAAGAAGATTTATATAAAAAAAACCTATAAATGATTTCGAAATATTGTATTATATGATCAAATATGATCAAAGCACATTTATTGATAACTGTCATGACACGTATCCTTCGTTATCTCAATGAAAATCAACCTATATACGAAAACGTATTGGAACTCATGCGGGGATATCGTAATCGGTGGCAGGAGAGGCCCTGAGATGCGTGGGCCTGACACATTCGCTTGGTCCCATTGACGGTCAGTCGGTGGCCTCGATCTTCACTGTTAGCGTGGATGTGTCCTTACGACTTTGCGCTATCATCAGGAATGCGTTTTCGCAAGTAATCCGAAGGCGCGATTATGCTATCACGCTACTATGGGATATTTATCTTATGTATTGCCACGATAGCCGGAGCATCATTTCCGCCGGTGGGGAGATGGTGTTCTATCTGGTTCACGCTAAGTAGCGTTAGCGTGCTATTCACCTTACCGGAGATCACACACCAATGGTCGCTCTTAGGATTGAATCTCTGGTCGAATCATACAGCGGATAAGCCGATGTCTAACGAGCTTTTTGAACGTGACGCGATTCGATTTTCCAGAGGTGAGTACATTGCGAATATTATAACATTATACAAACGAAGTGAAGAAATTGAAAAGAGGAATATCCATACACGGAAAGAATTTGATGAGAACGATTTTGATGAGATATCTAAAAATTTTGCAATACCGAAATATTATTCTTGTTTGATTAAATCAATTGCTTATTTGATTATATAAATATTAATTTATCTTGTATCTTTATTTCTTTCGCTGAAAAATATAATATATATTTTAATTAAACACATAAATACATATATTCTTTTCATCGAAAGAAAAAAAAACGAACTGAATCAATTTAGTAAACATTTTTTTTCTCAGCAAATAAAGATCTGAAAATAATTTTGTTGGATTATCAAAATGACTCTTATCAATGTAACTCTTAAGTATCGACGGCAAAACATTTTAGCAATCACTTAGTGTTTTATATAATTATTTTGATAATCCAAACAAAATTATTTTTAGATCTAGCTAAATTTAGATACTTCAGCAAATCTTATTTTTTTCCTTGTATAGTTCTCGGTAACGTATTTTAATAATTCAAAACCAAAATACCATTATCACGATTGACGATCATTTTGAACGTTGTAAACTTGATATTGATAATGTCTTTCTCTTTTAAGCTGAAGAAAATTGAAGATTTTGTAAAGAAGATTGTATGTCTTTTCTTAGCTTACCATCGCGTTTGTTTTCTGAATTGAGAGAAACGTAAATGAAAGAATAAACCCTTTTCCTTGCAACATGCATGCAATTTTAAGAATTTTACGAAGATACTTTTCCAAATGTATTTTCTGCATATTAAATGATACATACATGTGATGATAAATTATATAATACAATTCAATAAATAATTGTGCTATTTATTAGTTTTGATGATATTTTTATCATTAAATTACTTGTTTCTTTTTTTCATCAATCAAATGTGTCGCTTTTCGTTTTTAAAAAATGTAATAATTGATTAATTCGCAGCATTTGAATTAATTATTTAAAAAATTGAGTAAAAATTAATAATGCGAAGTTAAATTTTTATTGAAGGCTTCTTGAAGGAATCCTCTTTCAAACGTAAAGCAATGGTATTTAAATACAATAAAAAGACATTAAGCAAATAATGCGGATTGCAAATAATTCTACATTGAAGAATTATACTAAATTTTAATAAATCATTTTTTTAATAGTACTAATTAAATATTTACTAAACATAAAGATATATTTATTTAGTACAATAATCATTAATTTGATTAATTATTTTTATTGAGTAAATTTATTTACTGTAAGTAAATGTTAGTTGGTACTATTCAAATAAATATTTATTAAAATTTAGTACATTTTTTACATTTGTTCTCTAAATATACGTTCATATATAAATTTGTATCTGTAGATTTTCATCAAATTCTTCGCATAATTAATTTATCTATTACCTACATTTATTTACATTTCGGAAAGTAACTTGATTATTTAACGATTAGAACGGACGAGAGAATTTTTCCCAGTTTATTTGACTCTTTTCGCGTTTATCCGCAGTGCTGAACTTCTTTCCCGTTCCGGTCGAGGAAGAGTGCCTGTCCGAGGACAAACGACGTCAGGGAATATGCATGAACACATATGAGTGCCATATTCAGCGCGGGCAATCTCATGGATCATGTGCGCTCGGTTTTGGCGTGTGTTGCATATGTGAGTATACCTGTCATTCGTACGTAATATAACTTGCCATGCGCATCATCTTAAAGCGATATCGTGAAACCTATCTGGAGGACCTACAAAAAAGCGCCAATTCATTCTGGTTGCGATAAAAATGATCTCTCTGACGTCGTATTCATATCCTAAATATTTCTAATTCCTAATGAAATTACTAATTCCTAAAGATATTATGTGTCATTTTTCTACACCATTATTTTTTCACGCTTAGAGAAATTTTTGATTTCAGGTATGCAATTATAAACAATAGTTTAGATAACTCAAAATTATTTACATAAAAATGCGATACATTAATGTATTGCAGAGAAGATAAAGATAATTTCATTTTTAATTTATTTAAATAAAAAAATGAAATTATTTATATAATAATTTCTTTTATATAATTTTAAGACAATATTGTTTTTAAATAAAATAATTTAAGATATAGAAACGATATATATATATATTCACATTTTTATTTATAGTATAAATCTTTATTTCTTACATACAAGCAAAAATTTTTTAAATTTTTCGCCTGTCGTTCTCAAAATTTTCGAGTAATATATTGATGCCAAGACGTTCCATTGACACCGATATATAATAGCAAAATATGTTATATTGAAAAAAATCTATTTGACATGTGAATAAAAAATAAAAATTTAATTGTTTAGATTTAAATGTTAAACATAAAACTATTTCAAATAAAAACTGTTAAAATTAAAAATGTCTATACATACATATATATATACTTTCTTTTTAAATTAAATAGTAAAAAGAAGGTAATATCGCTGATACATCAAATCAATGCTTAAAGTTACAAAATCTGGACAGCATTCATCTAACAAGATTAAACATTCGTTTTACATACATATATAAAAAGGGAGATGTTTTAAAATCTTACGTACTATACATTGATATAAATTATTTTATGCCCGTTTCCTCCAATGTATATTAACTTCAATCTCGATTTAACTTACTCTTCATATTTCTCTAATTTTTAGAATTAAGAAAAAGATGAAGAGTATAAAAGTTGAAGAGATTAAAGTTAATACATTGATGTAAAATGGATAATACAATTAATATAAAATAATTTGAAAAGTAGCACTTCTTTTATTTAAGATAAAGATGGAAATAATACATATTCTAATAATTTACAAAAAAATAAGACGAAGCCAATCCTTCATCTAGATACTTATCTAGATAATTTGTATAGATAATTGCAAATACTGAACGTTTTTTTTTTAATTTAAATAACTGATTAATCAGATTTTATGTCATTATATTTCTTTTAGGCGACATTGCTGTTTAACATCGTCCCAAAATAAAGCGAAAAATATACTTCTGGTTAGGAGTCGTACGTTATTTTTAGCATCTAAAATTGTATCTGTGCAATCGCAATTTTCTTATTCGTTTTGTCGATTTGATGCCGAATCGATCAGCGCTTTTCTGTTAAGTTTAACGGTATCGCGATAGTCGGGTGTAATTCCGAGATGATCTCAAGCAGCACGTTCTCCTCGATAGCGTGAAAGGGAGCACTCGAAGAAGGAAAGAAAAAAAGAAGAAACGGTACGCTTACCCGGTTCGCATGAGGAAGAACTTGAAGGCCAGACTATACAGTTACTTAATTGCCTTTCGGTGCGGATACAAGTATTGTACTATACGAATTCCACTGTCTCCCTATAATATCTTGTTTATATTGCTCTTAACAATTCGCAAATATCGAGCGTGACTGAGCATATCTTTCTTTAAAAATCTATATTACATACAAATATGCAATTCCATGTGTAATTGAACTGCGAGATTTGAATCTCCTCTAAGCGCGTTATATCGTAAATTTTACATTTTACGGACACGTGCGACATACATATTTATCTTTCTAGCAATAAATTTTCTGTAGAATTTAAACTCAACTTTATATTCTCACAAAATCCATTAAAATTTGCTGAAAGATAGATATCAACAGTGTTCATCTTCAATTCTAAAATTTACTTCATTAAACATTTAAAATTTGCAACGTTAGACTTAACAACTTCGTAGTTGGCTGCTGTATTAAATTCTCATTAATTAGGGAAGGCACCGACTTGAAATTCGTTAAGTAATGCACCATTTATATACATTAACGGTGATTAGATGACAAACTGTGTAGACTTCTAGTGGAAAGTAAATTTAGTACAGATTTTACTTATTTCTAAAAAATTTAATATCGATTTCATTTCCTCGAAAAAAATCTCCTCGGATTAAGATTCTATTATGCAGCTAACGATGTTAATTTTCTTTATGAGGAGGTAAGATAATGAAGCTAAAATAGAAATTTTGTAGCATTATTTTTAATGGTGTACATCTTGATGATGATTAAACTTTTATTATAACAAACATCCTCATTTTATGCCGCTACTTAAAATTTAAATCTCATGTAGCATGGAAAAGTTTTTATACGCTAGCATGAAACTGTTCCGCCGTCCGTCTCCGTTTTATAAAGTCTCTCGTCCAATTTCTCTTTATTGCTTTTTATTCGGTCTGCATCCATTCGCTTTTTCCGTCACGGTACATGCTATTGCACAGTCGAAAACAGGGCCATACCGTACGTACGGATTCTTGACCGATTTCGCGAATACAACTTCTTGCCATCTCTCCGTATACGCTGCATCTTGAAAGTCTGAGTTTTATTTATATCGGCCTATCGCCGGATGCCATCATTCCGCAGAAATAATTTAATATCGCAAAATTTAATGTATTACGGAAGAAAGATGATGCATATGCACTTCGAGCAAATTTACGAGAGCTATAACACGAACAAATAAATTTCTAATGCTCTCATGGTCAAAAGACATGGACGTGACCTTTAGATATAAATAACTCATCGCAGTTTTACGGGATTAGAACAACAATTAGTAATAAGCGGCGGACAACAGTATAAAAAAGGATATGTGTGTGTGTGTATGTGTGTGTGTGTGTGTGTGTGTGTGTGTGTGTGTGTGTGTGTGTATACTCTTTTAAGTACTGATATTTTCTGACTTGTAACATTTCTGTCGAAGAAGACTTCCAATCTACGTGATTTATTAGAGCGCTCTTTGCGCTCTCAGGATTTACTATTTGTTTACGTTTTCGTTTCATTGAGATATTTAGAATCGGTTGTTGCTTGGATAAACAATATGATAATTTATTTAATGGATAAAAGCGAGCAAGATAAAGAAAGAAAATGAAAGGACAGAGTGAATGAGCTAATATTTATCAAAAGATGGGAATAAACTGGTCTTTAATATAAATTAAACGTTGTAATATTTTATATTAAAAATGTATGTGCATGTTAAATTAAGGATGTATGTATTACATATTAAAGCATGACTAAAAATATAAAAATTTCATAATTTCATGTTGCCTAGTCTAAAGATTTAGGACGTTCGCTTAGAGATTCGGACTCCGGACCGAGATAATATTTTTCACATAAGAATTAATTATTTACAGATTTTAATATGACATTCAATATTATTAAGATCATTCAAAGATGCAAAAAAGCATCCAATTGTTAAATTGCTAGTCAATTTAACTCGTGATATTACTACGGTACTTTAAGAGTTAGTTTCAAGATAGAAAAATTATTTCGGTGCGCATTTCAAAGAACTACATACGTAGTAATATAAATTCACATATAATCATACAAGCATTTAAGATCTAGCTCGTTTAAGGCATTGATTTCTATAGTTTGTGTTATTATATATACGAGCCTATAATATATATTACATTGTTTCATAAATTGTATTATTATGTTTATTTATATAAAATTTGAGCACAATTCTTTTATTGGTTATTTAATTTTTTTGTTTGCTTTGATTCTTATATAAAAGGGCGTTTTATACTTATTTGTAAATTCGATAAAATCATAGATTTTATAAATTAAATCAAATTTTTTATATATATATATA